TCCGAACTTCCTGGGCGCGGGCGTCCTGTCGCTGCCCTTCTCGGCGTCGTCCCTGGGCTACCTCGCCTACGGCGTCGCGCTCGTCTCGATCTTCGCCGTCTCGCTGCTGAGCGGGCGCGCGTTCGGCGCCTGCTTCCGGGCGCGGCCCGAGAGCCGCATGATGTCCGACGTGGCCCGGGAGGCGTTCGGGCCGCGGGGCGAGCGCCTCGTCCGCTACGTGCAGTACTTCTACATGTGCGGCGTGTTGGTGATCTTCCACCTGACCTGCGCGATCGCCCTGCGGCGCGCCGCGGGCGGCGGCTGCGCGGTCCTCATGAGCGCCATCGTCGGCGGCTGCGCGCTCGTCGCGATGCAGGCGCGGTCGACGTCGACGCTCGGGACCCTGAGCGCGCTGGGCACGGGCTGCATCTTGGTCTACATCGGCATCATCCTGGTGTTGCTGCCCGTGCGGGGCCGGCGCCCGGGCGCGCGGGAGGACGTGCTGCCGCCGCCGTCGTCGTCGCTCGTCGCGGCGGGCGTCGCCGTCATGGACGTCGTCTTCGCGTTCTCGGGCCAGGTCGTCTACGTCGAATTGCAGGCGGAGATGCGGACGCCGGCGCACTTCATGCGGAGCGTGCTGAGCTCGAACGGGCTCATGTTCTGCACCTACGCGGCCATCGCCTGCCTGGGCTACCACTTCGTGGGCGCGGAGATTCTGGCGTCGGGCGAGCCGATCACGTCCGCGGTCGCGGCGAGCGGCTCGCCCGTGGATCGCGTGGTCAACGCGTTCCTCTTCGTCCAGGTCATGGTCGCGTACACGATCGAGGGCAACATCGTCGCGCGGGGGTTCTACCTCATGGCGGGCCGGGACGCGAAGACGGTCGCGCGGTCCGCGTGGACGGCGGCGACCGGCGGCCTCGTCGCGGCCGCGTTCGTCGTGTCCAACCTCGTGCCCTTCTTCTCCGACGTCATGGGCTTGATGAGCGGGCTCTGCGCGGGGCTCCTCTGCTACACGTTCCCCTTCGCGGCCGCGCTCGTGCTCGTGGACGACCTCGGCGCCGCGGAGCGGGCGCTCTACCGGGCCCTCGTCGGCGCGACGGCGCTGCTCGCGGTCCTGGGATCGACGGCGTCCATCCTGGACATCGCGAAGCACT